GTGATATGATCTTAATCCACTCATGGTTATTGATATCTGCACTCTCTCGTTACGCTCGCTCGTGCAGATATCATATCCATTCGTGGATAAAAATCATATCACTCATAAATCATAGGATATCCTCTATTTATTCGGAACAGTGCAGTCTACTGCCTGCTTAGAATATCCTACTCTTTTAATCAATGCAGTCCACTGCTTGAATATTATTCACTCATTACCATTGTGACATAGTAAGGTACTGTCATTCAAGAGGTAGTCCATTGCTGGTGAAGATTCAATTACTTATAATTACCTCACATATCATAGTGCTCCCCTCTTTTAGCCAAATTCAACCAACTGAATGAGTTATATACACAATAAATTAACTTGTAGTTAAGCCCAGAGTCCCATCTATTTTTATGTAGTGATTTTGACATCGGCCCTTTCAATTATAAAACTAGGTCAGGTCATTACAATTACATACACGAGTTCACTCATACAGTTCCCTTTGCTTTGGGCATTTTATTAGCAAATGTCGTTTTCCAGCCTACTGATTGTGACTTACAGTATATTTACAATAAAGTTGAGCTGGATTTCTTAATATGAACATTGGTATAATCAGCCAGTGAACTGTGATAATATCAAAAAAATATTCATACACAAAAATGACGCCTGTCAATATCTGAACTAGGTCATACTTACTACAACAGAGTGTCTTAAAATATTTCACACAACTATAAGCATATACCTGGTTTTAATAGTTTTTAAAGCCACACATAGACATTTTACCTATATTTTAAAACCCCCCAAAAAGTAATAAATATGACACTGTGCTATAAAAAATGAGATAGAAAATATTGTGGCTCAGAAATAAAGAAAACATGATGTGCCACGGCCGGGATTCGAACCTGCAAAATCAAGGTTGCAAGACTAATTCCCTAACCACTCTGCCACAGCCCAAGCTAAACTTTAAAGATGCATTTTTATTATTGATTCTAAATTTCAGAAAAATGTTTTTCCTCTACACCACAATTATTAAATAGTAGTCAATAATCATGGTAATAATATTACAATACATATCTGAGTAAATATTCTAAGCCAAATTCAGAATCAATGCTGTTAATCCAGTTTTCATTTTGAGAATCTACTTCCTGTCATGACTGTCAAAAAAACATGGCTTCCAAAACAAAATTCTTGCTTCCAATTTTCAAAATGATATATATTCATGGATCAGCTAATTTTGGCACCTGAAGCCATCCTAATAGAAAGGTAAGACTATTTTCTTGAAAAGTATTTCTTGAAATCCCCAATTTCGGCCTCTGAAGTGTAAGAAAGTCACTTTAACTCTATTGCTTATATTTAGAGTTATACTTTAACTATAGGGTATTTCAAATTATAGAAACGTATACCTGGTGTTACAAAAATAGGTTAGTTGTACATGTACTACTATCATACTTTATTGGTACAAATTGAGTACAATGCGCCCATAAGGTTGGCTACACCAACAAGTGAGGACAAATACAAAGAGGCGTACATGAGGCTGCAAAAGGAAAAGAAACAGCAAGATGAGGAGATACTCAGACTGGACAACATCAGAAAGGAAGCTGAACTCAAGGCTAAACAGTTAGAAGAATCACGAAAGGAGATGGAAACCCAGTTGAAAGACATTTTCCTCTAACCCTTGCATTGTTGCTAAAACAATTGAGTGGCAATGTCTACAAAATCTGTCAAGGTACTGAGAAAGTGAAGGTTGTGAATTTATATACTTGAAGTTATATGCTACATCTAATGACGACACCTCGGAATCTGATGACGTTTGCCATGAAGTATCTAGTGGAAATGAATCTACAACTTCTGAAAGTGGCAGTGATGACTACAGTTTTGATGGCAGTTTTGAAATTTTATTTTTTTCAAAAAATCAGAGGGAGAAGGAGGACCCATCCGCTCTGCGAAGGTCAACAAAAATTAGACAAAAGCCTGATAGGTTAACATATACATAGTATTAATTGTATGAGAAGATATATCAGTAAAATAACTTGCCTTAATTGGTCGGTAATCTTAGTAAAATTACTTGCCTTAATTGGTCGGTAATGCTAGTAAAATTACTTGCCTTAATTGGTCGGTAATGTTAGTAAAATTACTTGCCTTAATTGGTTGGTAATGTCAGTAAAATTACTTACCTTAATTGGTCGGTAATGTAGGAGTTTTTACATTAATATCACTAATGTTGTGTTGCCTATTATTACTAATTACAAATATGGATCACTTGCATATGTAAGCCCATTTTTGAATTAATGATCTTAAAAATACACATATAAAGTGTATGCTATTATAAACCAATTAAAATGCACATAAAAAGTGTATGAATTACATATTACATCACACAACTTGCTCTTATGCCTTGGTCGCATTTGCTCTGATTTTCACTACGGCGCCCGGCCAATTGAGTATTTTGTTCAAAATTGAACACAATGTTGAGCAAAACACTCAATCGGTCGGGCGTATATAGCATATGTGACCCAGGCATTAATGTATTTCAATTTCATAAGAGGCATAAAATCACATATATATTCTGAAGTAAAAGTGTTATATTTTTGCGCGCCGGTATGTACAGGGTGGTAAAAAAAGGCAACCCTAATTTTTCCACATATCTTTGTCATTTTTAGAAATTTTGCCCTGATATTTGGCACACATGTACATTCACAATTTCATATCAGATTGTGTTATTTCATTATCATTGGGCTGATAGTCGCAATGTTACAGCACTTTAAACAAGGTGCCCCAGTTTTCCAATATTGTGCTGTAGGCAAACCTGCACATGTCTTCCAAACCTGTCAATGACATAACTGCATTCCTTAGCAAGTATGGCCTGAATGACACATGTGATATTTATTTTGAGGTCAAATGTCTTTCTGGTGTTATTACCCTACACTCTATCTTTGAGGTATCCCAACTGATAAAGATTAAATGGGGCCATAGCTGGGCTATGGGGTGCCCATTCATTGTCTGTTGTAGGCCTACTGCTGATAATGTGGTCATTGAAGTGGTCCCAAAGCCATTATTGTGCATCATTGGGTGTATGGGGTATGGGGTATGGTTCTGTCTTGTTGGAACCACTGTTGCTGCCTATCACCCCCCCCTCCCCTGGGTTCAACTATAGTCTAAGAATTACATTGGGATCACAAAATAGAGTTTGATTTTGACAGTTATTGCATATCCGTTTGCATCATCGAAGGTAAAGGACCCTATCTCCTGAGAACACACTAAACTGTGCATCTGTCTGTGTGAAGGTGCCTCTCCACTACTTCATCAAGTGCTTGGTTCCCCAAGAATACATAATTGTTAGAGTTTACCAGTGCATCAAGTTGGAAATGGAGTTCATTTGAGCCCATTTGAATAACAGACCAGCTCAGACAGCCTGAAAGTGGCCATCTGGGGCATGTTGCTTAAAATGCAGTGATATTGTGACTATCAGTCCGATGGTCATGAAATATAATAGGTTGGTAGAAAATTGAATGATGTACAAATGTGCAAAATATCAGGGAGTTATTCCGTAGAATGACAAAGATATTAGGATAAACGAGGGTTGCCGTTTTTTGACCACCCTGTACATAGTTGCACATAGTTAAGGTATTTTTGTATTTTGGGGTGTACTTCTGAAATGTCAGAAACCAAGAAATGGCAGCATATTGTATATTAAACTGTAAAATGGCATATTAAGGCATTACTTTTAATGGCATAATTTTTAATGGCATAATTTTGAACTTTTGAATTATAGAACCATGTGAACTTATGATCATAAAAGCATATTTCCTTTTATATTTGTAATATTTAACTGTGATGACTGAACGTTGTCCGCGTGGATTTTACCAATTGCAAGTTAACTTTCATTTATAGATGGCACTTGGTTATTGCCATGTTTCAGTTCACATAAAAAGCTGGAAAGGGAATTTCCACTTCCTATTTCTACCACACTTCAATAGCTATACATATATAGGTTTTTATCTTAACACAATCCACCACAATAGTTCAACATGGTAAGCCATCCATTCATTATTTTACATTTATGTATTTTAATTCACATTTATTAATCAATTACAGCATATATTTTGGGTATTTTCTGTAATTTTATCACATATTATATTCTTAGAAATGTGTTCATATTTTTATACAGTTATCTGGCTGGTTCTTCTTACTTCTGCAACCCACTTCTGATATCCATTCCTGAATACAACACCCGTAGTCCAAGAAAGAGCCAGTTTTGTAAGTTATTTAGTCGGGTTGCAAAATGTTTAAATCTTAATTATCAACATGCCTCATATGATATTATTGTAAAGTATCAAATGCCATATTATGTGAAATGCCACAGTTTAAAATGTCATGTTGTGTAAATGCCATATTATGCGAAATGCCATATTGTATTTTACTACTGTAGATTGGGTTAATTTGGCGCCCGCTTTAATTTGGCGAATTTGGCGAAATTGAAAAATTCGCCAATATAAATCTTCGCCAAAATTTAGAATGAATCCCCGGGAATTATCTAGGGTATTTCGTCCAGTATATTTAGGTCACTTCCGGTTTATTTTTTCCAAAAATATGAAAAAATGTCTCTCATAAATTGGCTCAGAACTGGTCAGTCACTCATTAATACTCAGGGAAAAACTAGGAAAGGAAAAGCTTGGTATAGTAGCAGCATCGATCGAGGTGCAAAATGTAAAGGATGATCTCACAAAGATGTACAAACGTGGTGAATATCGCCAATGGTCCTCATAAGAAAAAATGAACATAGCCAAAGATGCCCATTTACGTGATTATTAGCAAACAGCGCGTAAGTTTGAAATTTTTTTTTTGCATATCCGCCAAATTAAATAGCCGCCAATATGCCAAAAATGGCAAAATCGCCAAATTAAGTAGCGCCAAATTAACCCAATCTACAGTATATAATACGAAATACTTATTATTTGCTTTTGTATTTTTTAGCCTCTCTGGCTCTGTTTGTTCGTCTCTGTAAAAAACGACAGTCACGCCACATCATCCTCTTCGTTTCTTACATGGTTTACAATTCTTACATCTATTAGGACATATTTTGATTGATGTTCCATTCTGTGATTCAGAGTTTGGTGAGCAATATGGTCCTTTTCTGGTCCTTGTTCGTGTACATTTAACACGTGCTCCATCGCATCTAGGGCAAGAAGGGCAACTCTCGATCCAGGTGCTCCAGATTGACCATTTACAGCCTGTGAATTGAACATTTACTTAAAATCTGACTTCGAATTTTTAAATGTATACTGATAAGAAAAAAAACGGGATATTCAGCTATCATGAAACATGTCATCCAATGTGATTCAAGTCGAGTCGTCCGGCCATAAATGCGAATTGTGATTAGTGGGTATATTATTTTTCTGATACACGAGATGAAAACATTGCTACTTGGTCACATAAGTCAAAGAACATGTACTTTCAATTAACATGTCCGTCATTTTAAAGATTTACAAGAACACAGAAACAGAATATGCTAGCTTGCATACAAAATGTTTTACGATAAAGGTAACCATTTTTGCAACAAATCTGTCTCTTTATTACTCACTAAATGAGAACAAATAGAAGGCGTGTGAGCATTTTTATTTTCATATCCATTGTAGTGGAATAATTTCTTTCATTTACATCTGATAATGTTAGGCAACGATACTTACATATTTTATATTGAGGACATGATTTGGTTGATGTTTCTCTCTGTGATTGAGACGTTGGTGCGCAATTTGGTCCTTGTCCGTTCCTAGTTCGTGTGCAAGTAACAGATCCTCCGTCACAGGACTCAGGGCAAGATGGGCATATTTAGAGTTATACTTTAACTATAGGGTATTTCAAATTATAGAAACGTATACCTGGTGTTACAAAAATAGGTTAGTTGTACGTGTACTACTATCATACTTTATTGGTACAAATTGAGTACAATGCGCCCATAAGGTTGGCTACACCAACAAGTGAGGACAAATACAAAGAGGCGTACATGAGGCTGCAAAAGGAAAAGAAACAGCAAGATGAGGAGATACTCAGACTGGACAACATCAGAAAGGAAGCTGAACTCAAGGTTAAACAGTTAGAAAAATCACGAAAGGAGATGGAAACCCAGTTGAAAGACATTTTCCTCTAACCCTTGCATTGTTGCTAAAACAATTGAGTGGCAATGTCTACAAAATCTGTCAAGGTACTGAGAAAGTGAAGGCTGTGAATTTATATACTTGAAGTTATATGCTACATCTAATGACGACACCTCGGAATCTGATGACGTTTGCCATGAAGTATCTAGTGGAAATGAATCTACAACTTCTGAAAGTGGCAGTGATGACTACAGTTTTGATGGCAGTTTTGAAATTTTATTTTTTTCAAAAAATCAGAGGGAGAAGGAGGACCCATCCGCTCTGCGAAGGTCAACAAAAATTAGACAAAAGCCTGATAGGTTAACATATACATAGTATTAATTGTATGAGAAGATATATCAGTAAAATAACTTGCCTTAATTGGTCGGTAATCTTAGTAAAATTACTTGCCTTAATTGGTCGGAAATGCTAGTAAAATTACTTGCCTTAATTGGTTGGTAATGTTAGTAAAATTACTTGCCTTAATTGGTCGGTAATGTCAGTAAAATTACTTACCTTAATTGGTCGGTAATGTAGGAGTTTTTACATTAATATCACTAATGTTGTGTTGCCTATTATTACTAATTACAAATATGGATCACTTGCATATGTAAGCCCATTTTTGAATTAATGATCTTAAAAATACACATATAAAGTGTATGCTATTATAAACCAATTAAAATGCACATAAAAAGTGTATGAATTACATATTACATCACACAACTTGCTCTTATGCCTTGGTCGCATTTGCTCTGATTTTCACTACGGCGCCCGGCCAATTGAGTATTTTGTTCAAAATTGAACACAATGTTGAGCAAAACACTCAATCGGTCGGGCGTATATAGCATATGTGACCCAGGCATTAATGTATTTCAATTTCATAAGAGGCATAAAATCACATATATATTCTGAAGTAAAAGTGTTATATTTTTGCGCGCCGGTATGTACAGGGTGGTAAAAAAAGGCAACCCTAATTTTTCCACATATCTTTGTCATTTTTAGAAATTTTGCCCTGATATTTGGCACACATGTACATTCACAATTTCATATCAGATTGTGTTATTTCATTATCATTGGGCTGATAGTCGCAATGTTACAGCACTTTAAACAAGGTGCCCCAGTTTTCCAATATTGTGCTGTAGGCAAACCTGCACATGTCTTCCAAACCTGTCAATGACATAACTGCATTCCTTAGCAAGTATGGCCTGAATGACACATGTGATATTTATTTTGAGGTCAAATGTCTTTCTGGTGTTATTACCCTACACTCTATCTTTGAGGTATCCCAACTGATAAAGATTAAATGGGGCCATAGCTGGGCTATGGGGTGCCCATTCATTGTCTGTTGTAGGCCTACTGCTGATAATGTGGTCATTGAAGTGGTCCCAAAGCCATTATTGTGCATCATTGGGTGTATGGGGTATGGGGTATGGTTCTGTCTTGTTGGAACCACTGTTGCTGCCTATCACCCCCCCCCTCCCCTGGGTTCAACTATAGTCTAAGAATTACATTGGGATCACAAAATAGAGTTTGATTTTGACAGTTATTGCATATCCGTTTGCATCATCGAAGGTAAAGGACCCTATCTTCTGAGAACACACTAAACTGTGCATCTGTCTGTGTGAAGGTGCCTCTCCACTACTTCATCAAGTGCTTGGTTCCCCAAGAATACATAATTGTTAGAGTTTACCAGTGCATCAAGTTGGAAATGGAGTTCATTTGAGCCCATTTGAATAACAGACCAGCTCAGACAGCCTGAAAGTGGCCATCTGGGGCATGTTGCTTAAAATGCAGTGATATTGTGACTATCAGTCCGATGGTCATGAAATATAATAGGTTGGTGGAAAATTGAATGATGTACAAATGTGCAAAATATCAGGGAGTTATTCCGTAGAATGACAAAGATATTAGGATAAACGAGGGTTGCCGTTTTTTGACCACCCTGTACATAGTTGCACATAGTTAAGGTATTTTTGTATTTTGGGGTGTACTTCTGAAATGTCAGAAACCAAGAAATGGCAGCATATTGTATATTAAACTGTAAAATGGCATATTAAGGCATTACTTTTAATGGCATAATTTTTAATGGCATAATTTTGAACTTTTGAATTATAGAACCATGTGAACTTATGATCATAAAAGCATATTTCCTTTTATATTTGTAATATTTAACTGTGATGACTGAACGTTGTCCGCGTGGATTTTACCAATTGCAAGTTAACTTTCATTTATAGATGGCACTTGGTTATTGCCATGTTTCAGTTCACATAAAAAGCTGGAAAGGGAATTTCCACTTCCTATTTCTACCACACTTCAATAGCTATACATATATAGGTTTTTATCTCAACACAATCCACCACAATAGTTCAACATGGTAAGCCATCCATTCTTTATTTTACATTTATGTATTTCAATTCACATTTATTAATCAATTACAGCATATATTTTGGGTATTTTCTGTAATTTTATCACATATTATATCCTTAGAAATGTGTTCATATTTTTATACAGTTATCTGGCTGGTTCTTCTTACTTCTGCAACCCACTTCTGATATCCATTCCTGAATACAACACCCGTAGTCCAAGAAAGAGCCAGTTTTGTAAGTTATTTAGTCGGGTTGCAAAATGTTTAAAGCTTAATTTTCAACATGCCTCATATGATATTATTGTAAAGTATCAAATGCCATATTATGTGAAATGCCACAGTTTGTTCGTCTCTGTAAAAAACGACAGTCACGCCACATCATCCTCTTCGTTTCTTACATGGTTTACAATTCTTACATCTATTAGGACATATTTTGATTGATGTTCCATTCTGTGATTCAGAGTTTGGTGAGCAATATAGTCCTTTTCTGGTCCTTGTTCGTGTACATTTAACACGTGCTCCATCGCATCTAGGGCAAGAAGGGCAACTCTCGATCCAGGTGCTCCAGATTGACCATTTACAGCCTGTAAATTGAACATTTACTTAAAATCTGACTTCGAATTTTTAAATGTATACTGATAAGAAAAAAACGGGATATTCAGCTATCATGAAACATGTCATCCAATGTGATTCAAGTCGAGTCGTCCGGCCATAAATGCGAATTGTGATTAGTGGGTATATTATTTTTCTGATACACGAGATGAAAACATTGCTACTTGGTCACATAAGTCAAAGAACATGTACTTTCAATTAACATGTCCGTCATTTTAAAGATTTACAAGAACACAGAAACAGAATATGCTAGCTTGCATACAAAATGTTTTACGATAAAGGTAACCATTTTTGCAACAAATCTGTCTCTTTATTACTCACTAAATGAGAACAAATAGAAGGCGTGTGAGCATTTTTATTTTCATATCCATTGTAGTGGAATAATTTCTTTCATTTACATCTGATAATGTTAGGTAACGATACTTACATATTTTATATTGAGGACATGATTTGGTTGATGTTTCTCTCTGCGATTGAGACGTTGGTGCGCAATTTGGTCCTTGTCCGTTCCTAGTTCGTGTGCAAGTAACAGATCCTCCGTCACAGGACTCAGGGCAAGATGGGCAACTCTCGCTCCAACTAGCCCAGACTGGCCATACGCAGCCTGAAAATGAGGTATTGATTTTTTTGTTTTCATTATGGTGATATTTTTAATATTTTTTTACTTGTCGATCAATGGCATTTAAACAGATATAAACCGATATAAATATATGTTAATTTGCAAATTTTATCTAAGGGAGGCCAATAATGTAATGTTTTACCTAGGCCTTCCTCGTTTGTTAACAAGTGTGAAATCTTATTGCAAATAAATAAAACCTTACCTTAAAAAATATTTCACTATATTGCCCGCAGTCAATTGCATTTGGTATTGGATTAAGCAATCCAATGCAATAGACTTTAGCTTTGCCTTTATTGCAATGAAGAGTTTTGCTCATTTTCGAACTGCTTTTACTTTTACAGATATACAAGTATGTAAGGTTTAATTTACGATGTAAAATTTTTTTCAAGATGGCGATATTTAAAATGGAATCATTACTCCTCAGTACTCCTCCTGTTGGCATATTTAATAACATTGATAGTAAGATACATAGCAATTGCATATTTTATTCATTAATGCAATTACAAATGTACTTGGAAACATTGTCCATCGGCCCAAGCCGTGTATGACTAATTAGTCAAAGTAATCTCATACTAATAGAAACAAATAATTTCTAACAAATAATGACTTTCAGAAAAAGTGTAAAGGAACGGTGCTCCAGACAACTATCGTTATTTAATTATTAATAAGTTAAAATTTACTTTAATTTCCTTGTGAAATTTATTTTGTTTTAACTGTTTAATAAGTCATTTACTGCAAGTATATTTACCATCTATGCATTGACATTCGTTGTGACTGGCCACCTTGAAAACTTGATCCTTGGGGCATAAATGCTCTACAAAGTCCCCATCGGGAATGTCCTGGCTGGAATAGCTACCTCCACTAAGGGGCCAATACCAGGTGCTATGCATACAGCACGTATGAGTTGCTCCGTACCTTGGGTCAGAACTAGGTGGACAGTAATCTGAATAGATTTATTACAATAGAAAATAGTGAAAGTTAGGGCACCCTGAAAAGTTGTACTTTTACATATGAAATCATGAAATCGAGACTTTTCCAAGTCAGACAGAAAAATTGGAAAGGAGCAATTACTTCACAAGAACAATTGCGCATATACATCTCTTTCAAAGTCCACTATGAAATTTAACAATTGAGGACTGTCTACCTTAAACTAGCAATAGAGATTGGTCGATATTCACAACCAAGAAAAGCTCAAATTAAAGAAAGACTGCCCTGTTTCATACCTGCCAACCTCTCAGAGAAAAAAAAACAGGAGTTTTTTTTTTAAAAAACAGGAGAAAAACAGGAGACTTTTACTGAAAAAAACAGGAGAAAACAGGAGACTTCTTTTAAAAAACAGGAGAAAACAGGAGGTTTCTTTTAGAAAACAAGTTACCATCTAAAAAACAGGAGAAAACAGGAAATTTTAAGTCTAAACAGGAGATTTTCTTTAAAAACAGGAGAAAACAGGAGGTTTCTTTTAGAAAACAAGTTACCATCTAAAAAAACAGGAGAAAACAAGACTTTCAGTCTAAACAGGAGATTTTCTTAAAAAAAACAGGCGAAAACAGGAGACTTCTTTTAAAAAACAGGAGAAAACAGGAGGTTTCTTTTAGAAAACAAGTTACCATCTAAAAAACATGAGAAAACAGGAGATTTTCAGTCTAAACAGGAGATTTTCTTTAAAAACAGGAGAAAACAATTTATTTTAAAGAAAACTTCAAAGAAAACACATTGTTCTTATAAAAAATACTCTATATATGGCCAGAAAATATAATGGTGAAAGATATGATGGTCCAAAATCACTTGCAATACCGGGTTGCAATCTATGCACATGGCCGTCTAGGTCCAGGATCAAGGAGGATTGGCTCCCAGAATGCAACATCGATACTCTGTCGATATTCTTGATGTCATGATTGCAAAATTCGAATTCAAACAGCCGCTATTTTATTCACTTCAACATTTGTATCGTTAATTTTGGTCTTATTTTCAAACGAAAATGCAGTTTGAATTCGAATTTTGTAGACACGACTTAGGGAGTATCGGTATCGATGTTGCATCCTGGGAGCCAATCCTCCTTGGTCCAGGATGGAAAAACCAAAAAGCTTACCGTAAATGTGACTGATAAATCTCAATCTTTGACAAACTTCAATGGTAAAATCATTCAAACTTATTTAACATGATTTCTCTTAATGTATATACATGCTTAATCTTGGTAGGCTTACACAATCGTGCATAAATAGACAGAATTATTCTTACCCCGTTTCACGGACATACTTGCGCAGATTCTTATCGCCTCCACTCAGGAGATTATCTACGTAATACGCATGCGCTAGGATCGTAATAAAGGATGGATTCGCTCTTACTGATTAAAATTGTTGCGCGTTCGCTAATTTCCTTGTTGTTGATTGAACATTTATATGTTAGTGTAGCTTAGAAGTCACAAGTCACAATAATTTCTCTCTGCATATTTGAAGTATTTATGGTGGATATAATATAGCAAAACTGGATTAACATATATGTACATATTCGTGAAGGATTCAGGATAAAGAATCTGGAACTTTATATTTACAAAAATCAATATTTGAAGAGAAATTTGAAGGAAAACCATATGTTCTTTGTTTGAATTATTGAACATTTTAAACAGTTGGTGCTAACCAAGGAGCTAAGACAGCCAATTTAGGTTACAGACTGTAGTAATTAAGGTGCTACCAACGTATTAGCCTGATAGACTTATAGTTAGGCCTGATAGAATAATTGGCAGACTTGGAATAGTTTTAAACCATGGAAACTGGAACTGTTAGCCAATTGTTAGGCAGTTACTCTGATACAGACTTGGATACTTCCACAGAAACCCAAATTGGTTTAGCTGGCATTCAGGGGTTGTCTCAAAGTAGTCAGGGACAATCTCAAGATGTTGACGAAAATGAAATTCTGGACAATACAGAGTTAGCTACTCCTCATCCTACCAGACGATCAGGCCGCACAACCAAGCTCAAAACCCTCAAGACCCCTCTCACTGCCTCTAGACTTGTGACATCCAAACCCAAGAGAGGGCGCCCAAGAACAACTAAGTCCCAACCTGTTAGGACTAACCCCGCTCAATCAAATCCTGCTCTGACACACCCGGTTGATCTTATAACCATAATGACAATGCTGAGGGACATGTCTGAGGATATTAAACATCTGAAAGACATTAATAAAACTAACGCCGACCTGGTAAAGCAGCTGTCACGTAAAACAGCTGACAATGAAGAGCTCCACAAGGAAGTCGCCACTTTGAGAAAACAACTTGTAAATAAGACAGTTTCACCCCCAAAGGACAATGTGAAATCCCTTCTTATAGGATCATCAATAGTTCGTGACATTGATGAAGCCAAACTGAACAATACGGAAGTTATATGCATACGTGGAGGAAAGATATCTGATATTCACAAGAAACTACTTACCATGAAGAGGAAGTTTGACCATATATACCTGCAGGTGGGAAGTAATGATTGTTCTGAGAGAGAAGACGTCAAGCTAATATCAGAAGATTATACCCTCCTAATCCGTACAGCAAAACAGTGTTCCAGTTCTGTCACTGTTTCTAGCGTAACACCGCGCATAGGTGCCACTCAAACCCAGGAGCGCATTGACCAACTCAATGGTTTCCTCCTTTGCCATTGCCAAGACGAGGATGTAATTTTCAATGACAATGATATCAACTTTCGGCTCAAGGATGAGTCAATCAACACTGGCTATATATGTGCCGATTAAGTCCACCTTAGTTTTGCAGGCACCAATAGCCTGGCCAAAAACCTCAAACTCAAAAGGAGTTGTGATGATGTCAACCTACCCAAGAATAAAAGGTTTGACCCTCTGCAGAAAAAATCACAGCAGCAGCCACAGAACAAGCGCCAAACACAGCAACACCAGCCCAATGATTCAACAAGTCCAGTGACGCACCCCCAAAGTGATATACCCAGACAATCCGGTTATAATAACACACGTAAACCGAGATCGAAGCAGACTTATACCCCACAGCAAGAACGCCACTTTATTACTTCATCAAGGGACAATCTTGTGTGCCTGAAATGTGGCGAGCCGGGTCATTTATCTCCCTCGTGTTGGCATCCTAACACAGTGCGGTGCCATTCCTGTCGGGAATTGGGACACAAATCCTCCAGGTGCCCCAAATCTGAGGTTCCACCATTAATGACCAGACAATTTGCAAATACCAGAATTGCCAATGAGCGTGCTCCACCAATGACCCATGATTATGATGGTCATTATATTAAGGACTATGGACATGGCAATAATAACTTTAGGAATAGATTTGCTGTTCTTGAGCATTATTAGATGTACGGCAATGAGTCTGCCTTACCCCCCAAAATCCAGAAATGTTTTGCCTCACCCCCCTTAAGCCCAAATAATGTCACTTCTATAAAACATAGACCTCATAGAAGGTCCAAACGGAAACGCTCTCAGGGTGAATGTTTGAATTTAAAATTTGCTTTTAATAATGTGCAAAATTTAGGACGGGCTAAACAAAGTGAATTGAAATATCTGCTTGAAAATAATGACATTAAAGTAATGGGCTTAACAGAAACATTTTTCAATGAAAATCGGTCACTGATGGTAAAAAGTGATAAACATGAATGGGTACATAAAAATAGGGTAAAACGTGAAGGAGGTGGCGTGGGCTTTTTTATTAAGACAAGCAATGAGATTGATATTTTGAATGATGACCTATTAAATTCCAAGTCAGACGATTTTGAGAGATACTGGATAAGATTGAGAATTAACGGTGAAACTTTCAGTATCGGTATTGCATACTATCCTAATGATGGTAAGCATACTGATCTGAGTAACTCACTTACAGATGAACTTATTTCAAACGTGGCCTCGCTAGAGGAATCTGGGGACTTTATCATTTTAATGGGAGATTTCAATGGAAGAATAAAGCAATTCTCAAAAGATGGCATTGCTAGCACAAATGGGAAATTGATTGAAATGCTCAGCGAAGTAACAGATATGAATATATTAAATCTTTCAAGCAAATGTAATGGTTCTTATACTTGGTTTAGAGGAAGTCAGACTTCAACTATAGATTATGTTTTATGTAATCAAAGTTTATATGATAAAATGACATCAATGAATATTGATGAAGAATGTGAATATTCTATTGGAAATGATCATTGTATGATTCTTATTAACTTTGCTTTTGTAAAACATACCAATCACTCCAGAAAATCTAAAGTAAATCTCGATTGCAATGCTAAGCTTTGGAAAATGAACGACCAGACAAACTGGAAAGCCTTCAAAACAACTCTTTCTTCTGAATTTGAACATTGGAATCCTACAGATTTCTCCTCTCCTGAAGAAATGTGGACTGATTGGAGAGAACGCGTTCTCAATGTTGGCAATAATGTGATCGGTCATTTTGAAATTTCACAAAAGTATAGAAGCTTTTGGGATGATGAACTGAAAAAACTAATCAAGAGTCGTAAGGAGGCTAGCCAGTTCTGTAGATACTGGCGTGCCTCAGGTTTTACAGATCTTGATTCTTTCGATGAACTATGGAAAATATATCAAATAAGAAAGGAAAGAGTTCATGTTTATATAAAAGACAAAATGGTCAAACGTCATATTAATATTTTGACTAGAAATGCATCCAAAAAATCGTCCAGTTCAAGGTCATACTGGAGAACCCTTAATATGTTTAACATTAATAATAACACACCCATAAGAATCCAACATCCTCTCCACTCTGACATAATTGTTGATGATCCAAAACAAGTATCTATTCTAATGAAAGATTATTGGTCAAAAGTGGGATTAAAAAACAGAAATCAAAAATCGCCTGATTTGACAGCAAATGAAATTAAACACTCTCAAATTCTGGCGAATATGGAATTTAAACTCAGTGCACCAAATGAAAATGACTCTGATATCTTTGATCAAGTTATTTTGGACAAGGAT